AAAAAAAAAAAAAAAAAAAAAAAGTGCTAAGATCTAAGGATAGGGTTGCCAGACAGAGTACAGCAGTGGCCTCCAACCTTTTTAGCACCAGGGACTGGTTTCATGGAGGATAATTTTTCCATAGACTGCAGGGGGGCGGGGGAGTGGTTTCGGGGTGATGCAAATACATTGCATTTATTGTGCAAACCTCTCTGCTAATGATAATCTGTATCTGCAGTTGCTCCCCAGGGCTAGCATCACCACCTCAGCTCTACCTCAGATCATCAGGCATTAGATTCTTATAAGGAGCGAGCAACCTAGATCCCTCGCATGCGCAGTTTACAGTAGAGTTAGTGCTCCTGTGAGAATCTAATGCCTTTGCTGATCCGACAGGAGGCTGAGCTCAGGCGATGATGTGAGTGATGGGAGCAGCTGTAAATATAGACGAAGCTTTGCTCACCCACTGCTCACCTCCTGCTGTGAGGCCTGGTTCCTAACAGGCCACGGACCGGTACTGGTTCCACGGCCTGGGAGTTGGGGACCGCAGGAGTACAAGATGTCCAGTTTATTCATTTCCGTAACAAATCACCATAAACTAGGTGGCTTAAACCAACAGAAATTTATTCTTTCAGTTCAGGAGGCCAGAGGTACCAAGTCAGGGTCGGTTCCTTCTGGAGGCTCTGAGGGAGGAACCGTCCCATGCCTCTGCCAGCTTCTGGTGGCTGCCGGCAGTCCTTGGTGTTCATTGGCTGGTAGACACATCAATTCAACCCCTGTCTCCATCGTCGTGTGGCCTTCCTGTGTGTCTGTGTGTGTCCTTTTCTGCCTCTTATGAGGACACTCTCACTGGAGTTAGGGCCCACCCTAATCCAGTATGATCTCATCTCTGTCCTTACCTTAATTCCATCCTCATCCACATGAGGTCACAATCTGAGGTTCTGAAGGGACATGAATTTTTAGGGGTTCACTGTTCAACCCACTATACCTGGTAAATTTAAATTCCAGATAAACTATGAATAATTTTTTAGTACAGTCTAAGTATGTCCCATGCAACAGAGTCCTCAAATACTGCACGGGACATAATTAAACTAAAAAGATTGCTTGTTGGTGATCTGAAATTCAGATTTAACTGGGTGTCTTATACAATCAGCACTCCGTATCTGTGGGTTCTGCATTCATGGGTTCAACCAGCCACAGATCAAAAGTATTTGGAAAAAAATTGCACCTGTAGTGAACAGGTACAGACTTTTTTTTCTTGTCACTGTTCCTTAAACAATACAGAGCTGGGCATGGTGGCTCACACCTGTAATCCTAGCTAGCTCTTTGGGAGGTTGAGGCGGGAGGATTATTTGAGTCCAGGAGTTCGAGACCAGTCTGGGCAACATAGTGAGACTCCTTCTCTACAAAAAAATAT